TAGAAGTTAAATCACTTACTGTATTTTGAAAGCAGAAACACCATCTTTTTATGACCCTACCTCTAGGACCTAGCATGCATTCAACCTGAGGCAAAGTCTGGATGAACATTTGTGGAGCAGTTGAAGAAATGTGAATAATTACATACAAAGTATAAGCAAAAGGGCTGTGTTTAAACCTAGGTTCATATATCTCTAAAGATCAGTATCCTTCCATACAATTAAAGAATTGGCTCTGAAAACTATCAACTATAATAACACAATTATTACTATTTCCCATCTTAATGTTATGATATTTCAATCTTTAAAAACAATAACTATAATGTTAATACCATGATTTCCCCTATTTCTAGATTGGATAAATGTGTAAGAAGTTGTTGAAAAAAAGCAATAGCATTTTAATATCTATCCCTAGTCACCATTCATTTGATTTTTCCTTGGGCTTAGAATTTTAAATATTCAAAATTAAATTAGCTATTAAATGCTTCAATCTGGATATTACTAGATCAGAATTTCTGGACTACCCCGTGAAAGACCTTCATTAAGAAGCAAAGAATCAAAAGGCTGCAGTGACTTTTCTTAGAACTCGGAGGATGTGTGGAGGAGGGAGGTCTTCTTTGACCAGGGGTCAGTGCCCTTGGGAGATGCTCAGACTTTGCCTCCTTCATTCAGCTTTTCCTGCCAGTCTTTACCTTCATATACTCCAAAGCTACAAGATGATTAAGAGCTCTCATGAGCCATTTGAGAGTTCTCTTGACCAGGGTTATTATTTTTATTTTTATTAATCTGACCACCTCAATAGCACTGTTGTTATGGAAAGTCTATGATTTGACCTCCGAAGACCTCAGAATGTTGAAGTCTGTCTCTGCCACTAACACAGCCTAATGTTAGGCCAAACACTTAATGCCTCTAAGCGCCAGTTTCCTAACACACAAGAAGAGAATCATCACTGCTCTTTTGCCTAACCTTCTTCGTTTGTTGTCCAGCTCAACACCTTTTTTACATGAAAATGTTTGTAAGTGGCAAAATGTTTATAAGCAGAAAATACCATATGATTGTAGGTTACTTCTCCCTCTCTTCTCCTCTTTTTTCTCTTTCTCTCATTTAGTTGTCTTACACATCAAATTCCATCCTGGGGCAAAGAAATTGTGCAAAATGATCTTTTTTTTTTTTTTTTTACAAGAGATACCGTTCAAAACTAACAATCTCATCTTTCTCCTCACCTTCCTACCTTCTCACAGTCCCTAGATATGTAATACATACAACCCATATTTGAAAGAGAGCAAGACTTTCTATTTCTTTTCTACCTAAACATGAATGTTTTGACTGAAGTCCCTCACGATGCTTTCTCTAGAGCTCTGTGGCCATGACTTCTCTCCTTACTCCAATTTTTCTCCTTATCCCCAATTCCCTAGCCATGGCCACTCTAGAAGAGCCTCTTCCCTAATTTTGCTCCTCAGGAGAATGTAATTGCATGAACTAATAGTAGCCTCTCTTTCAGACCCAGATCTGCATCACCTTCTACTAGCCCTTTTCAGTTTTAGTGATAAGATGTAGATATCGAATTAAGGTGAATGTTTGGGAATCCTGAGGAAATGTGGGCAAATTTCTCCACTATCCTGAGCCTCCTACTCTTCATTTATACAGTGGTGATAGAAATACTAGTTAATTATAAGGTTGTAGGAAAATTATATGAGAAGGAGCATGTGAAGAGCAACACATAGTAAGTACACAGTGTTGTCCTTATTAAGGGAAAAATCCCTTTTGCTGCCGCATGGAAACCAGAATTTCATTTTGACATCTGACTATTGTCTATGTTTTATTTCTCATCATTTTCATCCTATATGACACTAAAGCCACCTCAGTTTTGTTTTTGTTTTTTGTTTTTTGGCTCAGATGGAGAATAAGTATGATTTTTGCTTTACCTCTGGTACAGAAAGTTGCAAGACAACTTAGTATAACAAAATGAACATCGAACTCAAAGTCACAAGAAGCTTTCACTATTTATGTACTCCTTTAAATCAAAAGAACAAAATGTAAACTATTTTTTTATGTCATCTCCTGTGCTTCAGGCTCTGTGGTGCCTTAGCAAACATGAAAGAGACTGATTTACAATCAGTTTGGGCAAATTGCCTGTAGAATTCTGAGGACAGGAAATGAAAAAAAAAAAAAGTGCAGCACACACCCCCGGACATTCCACACAACATGTGGAATAAACAGGCCTAGAAAGGAAACCAAAAGCTCTTGGTCTTATGTTGAGGAGTATAATGAATGGCCTTTGGGAGAACATATAGTAAAGATAAGGTGCTGGAAAAATATTTCAAGAGGGCTGAACTTGATCCTGATTAAAGATAATCCCCTCCCCCTTTTGTTTAAAGGATGGTGAGTACTTTTAAGTTAGGTAAATTATGTTACCTGCATCAACATTATTAAAGAGGAGTACCATATTACAGACCTGTTCCTCTCAAACCTTCACAGGAATTGGACTTCCTGGGGGTCTTGTGAGGATGGAGATAATGATCCAGGAAATCTGAGTGGAACCTGATGAGATTCTGGATCCTTCACAAGCTCTGGGTGATACAGATGCTGCTGGTCTGCAGGCCAGTTGTTTCTCCATCCTGTTGAACAACATCCTTGGTGGTGTTCTGGTCCTTATCTATGGAAGAGCGATTTTCACCTGCGCAATTTTGGTCCCAGGGGAATTTGGCAGTGTCTGGAGATACTTGCGATCTTCACATTCAGGCAGTTCTACTGGCATCATGTGGACAAGGACCACAGATGCTGCTACAATACACAGGATAGACTTTCATAACAAAGAATTTTCTGACTCAAAATGTCAATAACACTAGAGGTGAGAAATCCTGTTGTACACATACTACTTTGTGTATCTCTCATATCAAAAATAATCTTGGGGCACCTGGGTGGCTCAGTCGGTTAAGCATCCAACTTTGGCTCAGGTCATGATCTCATGGTTCATGAGTTCAAGCTGTGTGTCGGGCTCTGCACTGACAGCTCAGAGCCTTGGAGCCTACTTCAGATTCTGTCCCCCTCTTACTCTATCCCTACCCCACTTGCGCTCTGTCTCTCACTCTGTCTCTCAAATAAATAAACATATAAAAAATTTTAAAAAATCTATTGAAAAACTTAAAAATAAATACATAAACCAGTGAGAGAAAGGTAGAAACATGTACTATTTAGTCTAGAGTAGAGTGAACTGTGTTTAAAACTGTCTTTAAGATGGTAACCAGCTGTTCTTCATCACACTGTAAGTATGAGCAGGAAATGTACATAAATGGGCCTATGCTACCCATCCATTCTTTTTCTTCATCTTCCACGCCAGCCAGGCAAATCTCTCTATGCTTTTGTAACCATATTTGTCCCATTTTGTTTCTTATTACTTGCAGAGACCCTCCCAGATCCTTGGGACATATTTTCTTCTCACTGCCAAGTTGCCTCTCTCCCTCCCTTTAAAAATCTAACTTGAAAATTTCCACCTCCATTAAGTCTTTCTGAACTAAATGAAGCAGTTGCCAGTTCACCTCTGTCTTCAGCTGGTACACTTTCTCCTTCGATGTGTTCATTCTGCAAATATGTTATTGCCCATCTGTGTACAAGGAACTGTGCTAGATTGGAGGAAGGGATAAGAAAGATGAGTAAGAGAGTCTTGCTTTTAAGAATTTTCCAATCTAAGGGAAGAAAACCACACACAGATCATTACAATGTAAATAAGATAGTTTTTAATAGTTTTATTTCAATGAGAGATATTTAAAAAATGAAAGAGAATGGTTTAGTAGTTAAAAGATTATTTCCAGTTGGCAAGATCAAGTACAAATTTATAAATAGGTATACATAAGTATCCTTTTTAATAAATAGGTATACATAAATATATTTTTAAGACAAGTTTTTCTGTAAATTAGGTACAATCTTGTACAAAAAAGAAGCACTGAATAATTTTAAAATTTGAAGATAATGAATTAGAGTATAGAATGAATTTGAGTCTGAATTTAGACTATATTTATAGAAGAGTTTATAATGAGTAAGAAAAGAGATTTTTTCTGGATGTGTGCAGCTATAGCATGGTTTTAACAAAAGACAGTGAATTTAATCACCTCTGAATGTACCTTAGGATGTTTTGTAGTTTTATAAGGGAGTGCTCTTTGGAAAGAATTCTTAATTACATCTAGGAGGGGAATACTTTGTAACTTCACAAGTATACTTTAAAAGCTAGTACCAAACATGGAATTTGGCACCATCCAGAACTCTTTTAGGAGAGAGTCTCACTTGTAAAGTGTTTTCATTACCTGAACTACAAGGAAATGGAAGAGAATTAACCCTCATTGATTATTTAATATGCGCCAGGCACTGCATAACTCTTTAACTATGTTATCTGACTTAGGTATATCATCGATAGCAACCTGTGTGTTTATCACCACCAACAACACTATAAGGAGATTCTAGCACATTGATTGAGAGGGAAGCAGAGCAAATCTCAGGGCTGTTTAGGAAGCCATTTCTGGGTGGAGACAATCAGCTTGCTTTTCCCTTAGAAGCAGCAAGGAGAAAGCTTCCTCTTCTGAAGATTTAAATGGTGATACTTGCATAGTCACAACAAGAAAATGAAGTTGTTTACATTTCATTAGTGGCCATGATTCCCTTTAAGGCTCATTACTGGAAAGCTATCTGTAACTCCGTTAGGCACAAATATGCATGAGTTTCTGCCAGCTCTCTCTCACACATCCTGAAATCACAAGCTTTGGGAATGGTATAGCTACTAAATCACTATAGGATTTTGTCTGAATGTCAGTACTTGAATTCTTCAGTTGTGATATTGGTTTAAAGTCAGTAATACAGTTAATATCATAGACCTTTCTTGCAGTTCTCATTTTTTGCGCCTCATTGCTCTTTTTAATAAGAGGACAGTTTTTAATCATGTCTTCTATAATTCAAAACATGGTGGAATCCTAGTTAACTCTGTGTAACTGGACTTTGTTTCCCTTTTAAAGTTGTTCTAGACTTCTGCATATCATTCAATGTTGATGTGAAAAATGCGGTGACTTTCAGTGGCCCAGTAGAAGACATGTTTGGATACACTGTTCAACAATATGAAAATGAAGAAGGAAAATGGTAAGCTGGTTGATTTCATTGTGTTGTTTAATTTTCTTCCAAGAGAATGGAAAATATTATTAACTACAGTCTGTTTTGTGAATGAGACTTCAACAGAATGAATTATGTATGGTAGAAAATACAGTCTTAACATTCGGTAATGGAAACTGACCCAGTTAAAAAAAAAAAAAAGGAAAATTCCTTGGCAGTATTAAAGGAAACAGTAGTGATTTCTGGTAAAGTCTGTGTTGACCTCAAAGAAGGTCCTTGTCCAAAATAGTCATTGTTCTGTAATTGTTATTCTGATAAGAATTCTTCAATTGTTCTTATTGTAGAGTAGCTGAAATTCAGCTGGAAGTATTGGGAGGTGGATGAGATCCCAATGAAATCGAAAGGGTTATTATCACAAAATATTATTGGGCTAATATTTTTGGTGACTTACTGACCTACTGAGTTTGATTTATGGTTTATAATGAACCTTACTGAATTTCTTTTATACACTTTTAAACCCTTTGATAATAGTTCATCTCACTGTAGGTATGACTTTTAAACCACATTTAACTTTTTAGAAATTACACAAAATTAATATTAAAACTCTTTTACTTTATTCTTAACATAATTCTTAGTGCACCTTTTTTTACTGGAATTTGTAGGAAAAAAGAACAAGAATTTGTTAAACCTTGCTTCAGTTTACTAACTTAAAGTAATTAAATTATTCTAGTAACTAAAAGAATAAACAAAAAGGGATTTATATCTCCTAGGAAAACAGCAATCTATCACTCTACTATATTTCACAAATAAAAAGATATGGATTTTTGATATTTCACTTTATCTTTTACACTTAATTAATTTGATCATAATCCCCCCAAAATAATCAATAGTAAGAAGTTGAGTTCTCACATTTTCTATGTACAGATATTATATCCTAGGTACAGACTAAAATTTGTGGTAGTATGTCACTCTCTACTCTCTTTACAAATATCTTAGGTGAGAAATCTAGAGTATGAGTTTTATGTTCTCTGTCCTTCCATCCTGTACTGTCACTTACCACCCCACCCCCCACCCCATCTAAGGTTAAATAGGTAAAGTCATCGTTCTAGACACCAATTTTATTCTTTTAGGCATTGTGCCTACAATTCCGGGAGCTCTGCCTCTCAGAGATTAATGTGAATGGGCCAAGCTTCTCCTTGCGCATAAGCTATCATAAACCGAAACTCAGTATGTATTTTTCTTTAAAAAGCTTAACTTTTACATAAAGTATATATGAAAGTTATTTTTCAGTAATCACTATTAGTAACATAAATTTTAAAGAGAAATATAACAAATAACAAGCCTTAAAGACTTAAATAACTTACTTAAAATGAACTTAAGGGAGAGTCAAATGTTTTTAACCTATTTTATGAAAGCCTGATTTCCCTGTTCTGATGTGAGGATATCCCTTAAGCTTCCTCTGTCATGTAGTCCAGGCTCCCTGATTTTAGGGCAATTTGATTTCAGCAGTCGTTAATTATCTGAGTGAGTGTTAGTAGAGTAATAAAAGGTTCATATTTCTCCCCAGGAGCCATGTACACCCATTTGATCTCTTTAATTTCTTTCTGTCCCTTATTATAAGCCCATCCTATTGCCCGTTTCCTGCCTTCTGAATTCTGTAATTCTTTCAAGACACCTGGAAGGTAAAGAAAGAGGAAAATGAGAAATCAGGCCTGAATGGAGACCTGATGTCATGATGAATTTCCTTTCCAAAGTCACTCTGTCTTTAAAGAAGGTGAATGTGTAGATGAGTAAAGGAAAACAGCCAGGCCAACATTTGGAAAGAAACAAGAGTGCCCAGAGTAGATAGGAAAATAGGATTGGGGTGGGAGGGAAGATGTTGCTAATGGTCTGTCTGAATGAGTCTACACTGAATTGAATTTTAGACAAACATTCAGAATTCTGTACACACATGTGAGTTAATGTTAATAGTAATGTATTAACTTTTTCTGGTTAGAGATTGTGCCTTATACATTTTGCTTTCCTCATGAAATACAGCCTACTTTTCTGTGTACAAATGTTTTTGGTGGGTTATTTAGAGTTTTTCTTTAGCCATGGCTTAAATGTGGACCAACTGAACAACAAGGATTTATGTAATGCATCCCATGTGTCTAACTTATGCTGCATTGTATAGGAGATATAAGACAAATACAGAGGCTTATAACCTAGTAGAGGGCTCATGTTAAATAATTAGAAATAAAGAATAGTGCTCATCAGTATAATAAAGATTATAAATTCAATGGGAGTTAAAATAAGGAGGAAGTGATTTTTGGTTCTTGAGCTGAATCCTGAAAGATGAGTTAACTTTTAGTAAGAGAAGAAGCAATGTCACTCCAATCTGGGAAGCCACATAAGTAGGGACATAGATTTGAGAAGTGAGTGTGTTGCTAAGCAAAAAGAACTGACATTGGGAGGGTAGAGGGGAAAGGGTAATGGTAGACCTTAGAAGCCAGACAAAGAAGCTTGGACCTAAGTGTAGGCATTGAGAACCACTTGTGAAACTTAGTTTAGAAACTCACATAAAATTATTTTTAAGAAATTGGATTCGGGAAGGAAGAGCCTGAAAGCTGGGGCAAGCAAGAATAGACAAGCAAGAATAGCAATCTGGTGCTTAAGAGAAGAGATCCCAAGCTAGGTTAGAGAGAACTGAAATGAAACAAAAGTGTATCCAAGATAAATTTAGATGAACCATCAAAGCCTGGTGGAAGTTTGGAAATGTCCATTGATGGTGTAGGAGGAGTCAAACATATTCCAAAATCTCTACACTGGATGATTGGAAAATGGGTAGTCATTCAGAGATAAATGTACAGGAAAGGAAAATAAGTTTTATCAGGAACTTGGTAAGTATGGTTTCAAATGGCTTGAGTAATGTCTATGTAGTTGGAAACCTGAAATGGGATACAGATAAGAGGGATAAGTTAATATATTACAGGAAATGTTTAGAGAGGAAGGACTGGTTTTGTTTCTCACTTACAACTCTGTGCATCACCCAGCATCTAGCATAGGGCCTTAAACGTCATATACATTCAATGATCATTTGTTGGCTGAACAACTGAATCTAGTGTAACTTCCTGTTATCATTAATGAAAGAACAAACACACACACATGCAAAAATAATGTTAAAAATAGTTCTTATATGACTATTATCAAAAATACAAAAGATAAGTGTTGGCAGGGATGTGGGGAAAAGGGAATATTTGTGCACTGTTGGTGGGAATGTAAGTTGGTACAGCCACTATGGAAAATAGTATAGAGCCTCCTCAGAAAATTAAAAATAGAACCACTCTATGATCCAGCTGTCTGGATAAACATACAAAATAAATGGAATCATGATCTTGAAGAAATATCTGCACTCCCATGTTCGTTGCAACATTATTTACAGTAACCAAGACTTGAAAGCAATCTAAATGTCCACTGATGGATGAATAGATTTGAATAGATTTTTTTAAATGTGTCACATACATACAACTGAATATTACTCAGCCTTAAAAAAAAAAAAAGAAGGAAATCCTACCATTTGAGACAACCTGGAGAAGATTATGCTCAGTGAGATAAACCAGACACAGGACAAATACTATATAATCTCATTTACATGAGGAATCTAAAATTGTCAAACTCCTAGAATCAGAGTGTAGAATGGTGGCTACCAGGAGCTTGGGGGTGGGGGGAAACAAAGAAGTATTAGTCAAAGGGCACAAAGTTTTAGCTATGCAAGATGAATTAATACTAGAGATTAACTGTATAACATAGTGCCTGTAGTTAACAGTACTGTATTATATACTTAAAAATTGGCTAAGAAGGTAGACCTCAGGTTAAGTGTTCATTATCATATATAATAATAATGATAATAACAAAAGAGGGTTGGAGGAAACTCTTGGAGGTGATGGATATGTTTATGTCATAGATGGTTATGTTATGTGGTAATGGTTTTACAGGTGTACACATGTCTCCAAACTCATTAAGTTGTATACATTAAGTATGTACAACTTTTAATATGTCAACCAAACTTCAATACAGGATTTGTTTTTGTTTTTTTGTAAGTGACTTCCATAGGGAAATGTAACTACTCAGGGCCAGAACTGAAAATAGAACTCCTGCCTCTCCATTCCTAGTCTGGTACTTTTTTCTTTATTAGAATTATATTAAAAAGTAAGTGCTGATAATAACTATGTTTGCAGTTTTAGACTTTAAATATATAATATACATGTGAGAGTTTGTGAGCATTTGAATGTATAAGGGTGTCACATAATTTAATTCCATTTTGACATTCCATGTTTACAATGATCTTATAAAAAAGGTATGAAAAATCAGAGTAACAAAATCAGTGTGGCCAACTGAATTTAAAAGTAAGCAAATTACAAAAATCTTAATGTCTAAACCTTTAAGGATGGCATCATAGCAGCCTATTATTCTAAAGAGATCCAGGCATTGGTAATGTAAAATAAACTTTAGAAACATCTTTGGATATTCTGTGTTTATAAAATCAGACAGGATGCACACTTACTTTAAGAAATGGACTATGGAGTAAATGTCATATTTGGGAGAACATGAGTTTTGTTATTCAGTTTTTCTCCAGAGGTGGGCACCTTCATAAATCATATTTACTACTCAAGTTTTGGAAGCCCATAAACCTCAGATATTTTTAAAAATCATCCTGACCCATATTACATCTCGGCTGAAGTATGCCTAAAGAAGTAGTACTTGTTTGTCCATTATAAGTGCAGTCTGTGCATTTGAAAGCATTACTTTAATTCTTTGGAAAGAATTAACAGTTAACAGGACAGGCAGCCTTATGTTCCCTTTACCTTTCAGAAGTTGACTGTGAAGTGTAATTTACTTTATATCTTTGGCTCAGAAAACCACATATTTTCTCAGCAGTAGAACATGTTATACCTCTGATTAAGATCAGCCGTTGTTCATTATGGTTAGCATGAGCTGAAACATCCAAGTAATTGCAGTGTGGTTTAGAAAAATTCACAAAGGACACAATT